TACCCGTCGTCCAGTCGATTCGCGGGTTGTACCGTCGCAGCCAGTCACATCCCAGTAAAATGTCGTGCCCATCCAGTGTCGTCGCGAGCATTTCCTGTGTAAACCCGAAGTTTCCCCCGCAGCGGACTTTTACTCTCTCCACCTCCTCCCGTATGGTCAGCGGCGTGCCGTCGACTAAGCGTGCATCGATCTCCGGTAAACACCAACTAAGTGTCAGTTGCAGCTTCCGTGCGGTTGCAGTATTAACTAAGCTGTGACTTGCTCCTCCGTCTATAAAAATCTTCACTGCTGCTCCCTGTATTTTCCCGTGAATCAGTACTGGGCAATCCGTCGCTGTACCCTCCTTATTCATCCGAGCCCGATCGATAGCGTGAATCCGTATTGTGACTCGGTGAGGGTCGGTGAGGTTGGGCGAGCAGGTTGTCTCGTCAGTAGTTGGCCCGATTTCTACTGACTGATGGCGTTTCCCTGCCTCTGAGACTCCCTCCCCTGCTCTGCGCCGCGGCGCCTCAGCTCCTCTAGGCATTCGATTTTGCGATGGCCCGGCCTATTGCAAGCAAAACAACGCCCCTTAAATGGTGCGGCAGCTGCATTCACTACAACGGCGTGTACAGTGGCGTGCTCGGTCGGTCCTCGAGGACGTTGTCCGTAGTAGAACCCCGGTCTAGGTCGGCGTAGGATATCGATCTTCTCGGCGAGCGCGAGGATCTCGTTGAAGTTCGAGAGCCCGCGTAGCATGATTTCGTGCGAGATGTCCGGCTTCAGCCCTCCGACGTAACGGTCCACCCGCTCCGCTTCGTGCATGTAGCCGACTTGCTCGCATAATGCGAGGAAACCGCTCGTATAATCTTGGACCTACCCGAGTTGTCGCCAAGTACGCAGTCTCCGACGCTCTGAAATAGAAGCCGCAATCGGCTCGAAGCGCGCCCGAAGCCCTGCGCACCACGCATCCCACGTGCTATACTGGGCGGTTTCGCAGAAAGAACTCCAGGTGACGGCTGGACCCGTGGGCCCTCCCTCTTGCGACGGCAGCTCGTAGGCGCTTGGCTACGTCACGGTGACTCGCCACCAGTCCATGGCGGGGCCCCTCAGCAGCGAAACAGCGTAACGAATCTTCGCTGCGTCCGACTCGACGTAGTTCGCGTCGAAGAAGACGTTCATCGTGAAGACCCACGATTGAACTGTCGGACCTCCACGTTGGCTAGGATCGAAGCAGGGTGGGCGCTGCGGCTTGAGTGGCATTGGCGCCATGATGTCGTTGTTGCCACTCGTTGCGGCGAACTCCACGTGCCGACGGGCTTCGCGAGGCCCCTGTGTGCTTGGTGCGACCCTGTTCCTCTCCATGCCTGGCATTGATTGAGCGACACCATCACTGGTTGCGCCTGAGCGTTGTCCCACGCTGTCGTTTTGTGTCGGTGTGCCTGATGAGATTACGATCGACTCCTCCGATTGTGCAGGTGCATTTGCAGGTGCGTGTGTTGGTGCTGGTGCATTCACCGTCGATTGCTGGCGAGCGGAGTCGCGTTCCGCCGTGAGTGTCGCAATTTCGAGTGCCGAATCTTCGAGTTGGCGCACGAGACGGTCGAGCTGCTCCTGCGTCAGTGTCGCGAGAGTGAATTCGGCCATGGCGGGGGTGTCGGGCAAACTTAGCGAGAGCCTCTGTCGTGGCCGTGCGTGCTTACGAGAGAGCACTTCGAGCGGCGGTGCTGGGTCGCTGAAAGACGTCTACCCCCTCCAAAAATCGAGATAGTGGGGAAGCGAAGGTGTGGGTGCGGTCCGAGAGGAGATCGTACGCTCTGATACCAAGTGTTACGAGTGTAATTGAGCGAGCGAGCGATAATTGCACTATCGAAGCAAAACAATACAATGAGCGAAGGCATGAGCGAAGAATATATAGCGAAGCTAGTGTGGTAACGGTAACGCGAGAAAATGGGGTGCGCTACGGGCCTCGCGCCGAGGTTGGGAAATGTCGAGGCGGAGGTCCGGAGCGCCGGTTACCAACCGAACCGTTTGGTTGGGTCGCATCGTGAACAGTGGCGGGAGTCGTGGTCGATGCAAGTGTCGCGAGCGGGTAACGTGTCACTGCTGGGTGCCGATGGCGGGAATGGTCATGTACGCGGTAAGCAGTGACGCGAGCTAAGGAAAAGGAATTTTCCTTGCAGACATCATAATATTTTTCCAAAGCATGAAACGAGTCCACAATTTGTCCACGGAGAAGCGCGAGAACCTTATCCACATACGGCCACTGTGTTTTTCTTTACAGCTCATACAGACGTGGCAGTAATGTTATATGACGTGTCTCAAGAACTCACTCGGAGCTGACCACCAAGTGAATCTTGGGTTGCTGGGCCTGGTTCAATCCGTGCCCATAAAAAACTAAAAGAGAAAAAGAATGGCTTCGTGTAATTGCTTCATTCCCAGGAAAATGCTACACTTCCAACATGTTTTCATGGAAGGAAGGAGGAGATCAGAATGCTTGAAAATTTCTATCACCAGCCCAGTCTTTTGTACCGTTCAGGGTGCATTCGTAGCCCGTGTCAGACATCATGTCAGACACGAAGTGGAGGCTCGGAAGACCCGAAGTGGCTCGTTTGTGAGGCACTTCAAAGTTTGGATGAGTGAAATTGGAGACTAAGGACTGATGACCTGATGTCTGACACGGGCCACGAATGCGCCCTTAGTTGCATTACGTGTGTGGTGTGGCGGGTGTGTGGATCTAGAGAATCCATGTTCTGTACAATTGCGGCTCGATCATTTTCCTTGCACTCGTCCTGCCCCAGCCACAACAGTTTCGCCCCCACTACACCAACACCCGGTCCCCCTCTCACCGACTCCAACATACATTCCCCCGAGGCGCGGCTCGAATCGGCGTCGATCACAATCCTATTCCCTCGTGCAAGCCGAAGCAAGCAAGCTGTGGCTGTGGCTACTGGCGTGGCTATGGCTGGCTCAGGCTGTGTGTTGCATCTTTCCCGTCCCAGTAGCGGTTGTGATCAATTCGCAGCCAATCCTGCCAGCGGATCAGACAGACCTCGCACTGTAAAACTGCGGTGTAGGAGAAGCGCAGGAGAAGCGAGAGAAGCCGCGCCAGGTGGACTAGTGGTGATCAACTGCGCCAAAGCTCAAGGCCCAAGGAGCAGGGAGGGCCCCAGGAGCAAAACGCTGGTCTCTTCGCTCTCCCCTCCCCGTCACTAATCTTCCGCCATGGTGACACGATTGTGGAGAACATGACGTGCTGAGTGAGGTGCGGCGGGCGGCAACCAGCCAGCCAAGGGACGGCGGAAAGCGGAAAGCGGAAAGCAACTCAATCCACGTGTCCCACTGGAGTGTTGACATATTGTTTGTTCGGCCAGATATTCTGCCCGCGGGCTCGCTTGATTACCAAGCCTAGCCAATGCGCCTGATTAGGATGAATACACGGGGCGCTGGTTCTAAAGAGAGCATTTATTTATTACGTACAGTGCTTCCTCCCCTATTATTTTGGCATCCTTGAGAATCAAGCTCACCCTCACACATACCCTCATCGCCAGAGCAACACTCACCCAGAGCGCATCGTAGAAACCTTGGAAGGTAGTGCGTGCGCCACTCGATCAAACCCGATCCGGGTCGCGCCTCCGAGCAATGCATTTACGAGTGGATGAGATGATTGGAGGGGGATGCATCAGGGGGAAGGAAACAAACGAGCCCCGGAACGCCAAGCTTCTATCCAGACCAGAATGCTTCCACCCGAGGAAAATATTAGAAGGATCGTTCAGGCTTCCTTCCCAGCTAGAGTTTGAAGGCCAGAGCCCAGACTAGAGGAAGTGTAGAGAGAGCGGGGAGAGTGCTAGCAGGAACCGCCGCGCCGCAGCAAGGCCTCATTGTCGAAGCGTCGAAGTGGATAAGGGCCCTCAGGGATCGAGGATAGGGTAGCGAGGAGTGAGTGACGACGATTTTCTGAGAGAAGAGGAAGGCAGAAGGGGCACGATTCTCACGTCTCAAGAGGGCCGGCTTATCCCAGAGCCTGTACATAGATTCGCTACACAATGCGTGCCATTAGAATCATCCGACAGCGCATGAAGTCGCTTACAGCTTCTTAGAAATACCAACGGCTGTTGACGGGGAACCTCGAATGCGACTTTCTCAAGCTCTGGGACTCTGGCTGTGACTGTGACGGCTAACTGCTCGGCTTTCCTTAACTTCCGTCCCTCGCGGATAATAGAAACATAATCGCATGGTTCGAGGATCTAGCACCAGTACCCTTTACCAAGTCGATCTACTAGAGCGTAGAACAGCACCAACTGACGGTCACCGTCAGGAGCCATGTCCATCGCATCGCACCGTACATGACGACCCACTACTGCTAGTATAGTGCGAGTGCGGTGCAATCACGCATCTCTCGCAACGCCGTCACTGCTAATATAACAGATCCGCCCAAGTTAGGATACTCGAAGGTCACACACCAGGCCACATTGCTCTCTCCTGTCCCGGCGAGTCGGTCTTCAATCCAACACTCCATTCGTCTGCCTCCGAGGCCAGGGTCGTTCCTCTCCCGTCCATCCACCGTCGCGTCCCGTCCCATTCACTCCAAGCAGCGTCCGCGCGACATGTCGCCGGGTGCGACAGCTCTCGCCATGACGCACCTTCCCTCTGTCGCCACCGCCGCCGCCATTCCCGGCGACTGCTACTATGGCGGGTCCTGGGGGGGACCGGCGCGAGGGAGCGACTCAGTATGGAGCCGCGGACATGCCAAGTGCGACGTCGACGGCAATGGCGGTGCGGGTCTTCATTCTCTTGACGGCCGCGGCAATGACAACGGCGGTGGCAACGGCAATGGCAAGAGGGTTTTCAGTCCACCGGACCCTGATCGCCATGGGGAAGGCAGCGGAGACGGCGCCGCCGGCAGCGGCATCACGAACGCTGCGGCCGTCGCGATGATGCCATTGAAAGCGATCGAAGAGTGGGGATCGTCTCCGCGATCGGCGCTCCAATCTTCCGGCGCGAACGCGGCGCCGCGATGGATGGACCCTCGCGGCGGAAGGGCCGTTGCGGCGTCCGCGACGAGAATGGCGAGCGGCAGCACTCCGAAAGTGAATGCGGCGGCGGGCTTTGCGGCGACGGCGGCGACGGTGGGAGGGGTAGCGGCCTTTGCGGCGACAGAGGCGGCGGCGACGGCGACGGGTGCGGACGAGGACGACGAGTGGTTGAGCATGGACGTCGCGCGGGAGTGGGAGGGCACGGTAGCGGCTGAAGCCAATCGGCGGGGAACGCGCGAGCGCGAGACGAGCAGCACGGGCTGCTACGGGCCGTCCTCGGAGCGCGCGAACGGGTCAAAGCGCCAGGCCTGCGCGAATCGCGCTGGCGACGCGCCGGCGACGCTAGGGACCCTTGCGACGGCGGCGCTGTCGCCCGCGATTACTGCTGGAGATGCTGCGACGGTCGCGAGCGACAATGTCTCTGGTGGAGGGTCGGATTGGCGGGACGGGGGAAACCACGCGGCGGCGTTTCCCCCGGCGGGAGAAGCGGGCTGCGCGTCAGGGGTGGCCGGAAGCCATGGGGGAACCAGACGGCGCGGGGAGGCGCAAACGGGGAGCCAAGGGGGAAGCCATGTTCCGCCATATGCGGGAGGGGAGGAGGGCGCGCGGGAGGACAGGAAGCACAGGCGCATGGTGAGCAACCGGGAGTCTGCTCGACGGTCGAGATTGCGCAAGCAAACGCACGTGGATGCAATGAAGCTCAAGGTATGGCCCGAGAACACATGCATGCTCCCACCTCCCTCCGTCCGGCCGTGCGTCTGTCGCTTCCCAACAACTACTAACGCCCCGCACCTCCGCCCCCCCCACCCCCCACGCTCCATCCCTGCAGGCGTGCAGGCTGCAAGGCCACAACACGGACATGGCGGCGCGCCTCACAACAGCCTCGGAGAATCTAAACCAGATCACGCGGGAGAATCGGCTGCTGCGATCCCAAGCCACCGACCTCTCGCGCCGCCTGCAGCGGCTACAGTACCAGATCGCTGCAGCGCAGCACTCGCACGCCCACGCCCAGCTCTCCCACTCACAGGCTCAGTCCTACGCACACGCCGCGCTTCCCCCGTATCCACACACGTCATCCCTCTCCCCGCACGCCTTCTCCTCCGCCTTATATGACCCTCCTGCTGCATCTGCCGCCGCTGCCGCCGCCGCTGCTGCTGCTGCTGCCGCTGCCGCTTCTGCGATGCATTATGGTGGTATTGAAGACCGGCTTCATATGCTGGAATCTCCCAGGCTCAGCCTCCACGGAGGGATGTTTTCTCAGGCCTTGCCAGGCCATGGACTAGGCTCGGGCTTGGGAGGCATGGGAAGCATGGGGAGGATGGGGGGAATGGGCGGCATGGGGGGGATGGGAGTGCTCAGCAGCTTAGGAGCTGCGTCCAGCTTGCCGGGATTAGATGGGATGGGAAGGCTGGACTCGCACTTGAGCGGCACTTTGGGCGGGCCGGGCCATGCTTTTGCTGCGAAGCCGACGGCGATTCTGTCCGGAATGGATCCTGCTGCAGCAGCCGCCAGTGCAGCAGCAGCGCACTGCCGAGCACAGTATGGGTTGCACTTGGCGTCAGGATATTCAGCAGGCACGGGCTATGCTCCATCTCCCGGTCTCTTTGATCCGTATTAATCGGTTCAGTTTTTGCTGAACGAGAGCAATGGGATGGCTTGACGTGGCAAGAATCTGTGTGCGTGTATCAATATCAGTTGAATAAAACCCCAAAAGGAGGGCTCATAGTCAAAGCTCGTTGTTGGACATTGTTGTGCATGCGACACAGCACAGATCTACCCAACCGAAGCTGCCTCTAGCAGGTTAGAAAATGTTTGGCCGTGCGAGGTTGGAGGGCAGTCACAGTCCGGCAAGTGAAAGTGAGCCGAGATACCCGCTCCACAGAGCACAACACCGTACCCAACCTCTTTTCTATTCCATATAATATTTTTTACACTGAAATAGTTCTACAGTCCCAGTAATATACAGTATCAGAAAAGAGAATCAGATCTGTTGAATAGCAAGACAAGAAACAACTGCTAAGGTGAGCCTTTGTGATGCCCACTCTAATACCGTTGGTGATTACATACAGCACCCCGGGGCGCAAGCATGTGCTCGTTCAACAAACCACAGGTTGATTGCGGCCAAGAGGGCAAATTACGGTACCTACACTAGATAAGAACTAGTCAATGCATATCTAAACAGTACGGTAGCAGCAGCAGCAGCAGCGTGCACGGATCCAGCATGATCATAGTCGTGCCGTGACCAAAGCTACGAGGTACACTTGTGCCATCTCCCAGCAAGATCTGATTGCTGGAACAGCCTAAATGGCTCTACACCCTAAATGATGGTGTGTGTGGGAATGCAGGGGAGGCAGTGCGTCGAGACAAGGGAGTCGGGACTACGAGGAGGTGGAGTGAGGATTAAGGAGTAACGCGAGCAGGGAGGGAAGGCAACAGAGGAGGCACATGGAAGTTGGGAGTGAGAGAGAGAAAGCGTGTGAGAGACATACGGTGGAGGGGACAGGGCGTGCGTAGGAGACTGGGACAGGGCAAAATGGGGTGGTGGATGCTGTGGGGTGAAGGCGGGAGAGCGGCTAGAAGGTTAGAGGATGGCACAGCTACAGCCGTGGCTTGGCCCCCTGTCGTCACTTGCCTCATCCTCACAGCTTGATTCACTGCATGCACGCGAGCAACAGCGGGCACAGACAGTACAAGAGAGAGGAGGGAAAGGGGGTGCGAGAGGGAATAAGGAACGTGAGAGTGTGCATTGTGGGACGGGAAGTGTCGGGTATGGACGACTTCACACAAGGTCCAAATCGGGACTAAAGAGTTAGGCTTATCACAACTATTATGCGTGTGACCCTTGCACCTGCCATTGACGACATAGGGGGTATCCCCCTCTCCCGCCCACCTTCCAACTCACCTCTTGCATTCACGCATGCGGTTACACCCTCACAAACGCCCTGCTCACCACCCCTCACCAACCCCCACCACCGCCCCTCGCCAGCCTCACCTGGGTTCGAACTCGCGCACGTCAGCAAGCGTGAGCCCTCGGTCGTCGGGCCACTGCACCTTCTTCCCCTGCCGCTCGCCATTCCACTCCACCACGCGCTCTTCCACGCCTACTACCACGCCCACGCCCATGCCTGCTTCCGCTTCTCCCTCTCCTCTCATACCGTCCGTCTCCCCGCTTTCGCCTGCTCCTCCCTGCGGCTCTGCTTTCTCCCCCTCCCGCCGGCTCTCTGCCTCTGACGACTTCTCGCCCTCCGCTCTTCCGCCGTCCCCTCTTCCTTCCGCCGTGGCTTCCCCTTCTGCTTCGCAAGCCAGCCTCGCTGCATCCTCCTCTCCCCGCGCCGCATTTTGCGGCGGCGTCCGCGCGTCCGCTTCCTGCGCCTTGCTTTCTCCGCCGTGCGTGCCTCCGCCGAGGGCACTCTGCGCGCCCCGCTCCCCAACTGCAACCTCCGCTTCCGCCACTACCACCATCTCCTCCCTCTTGACTAACGCCGCGTTCTCCGCGTGATGCTCCTGTCCCTTCCTTCCCCCAACCTCCACCCCCTCCCCCTCCCCATTCCCCTCCCTCCCCCCCTCCACCTCCACCTCCTCCGAAGTGCGCGTCGTGACGTTCGCTAAATGCTCTCTTTGTGACTCTGCCTCTGCCCGCGACGAGTCTGCGACGACTAACGACTGCTGCTCGCGTTGCGCCGCATCGCCAGCTGTCGCAGAACTCAGTGGAGAACCCAGCTGCGACAGGGCGACACCAGGAACAGCACTCGATCTCACGGAGCTTGCCTGGGCTACAGTATCGTCGCCGCCGCGATCTTCTTCTATCGAGGCCCCCAATAACGAGGGGGCCTCTGCTGGCGCATCCACTGTGGCGACGAGCGGAAGGAGGTGGCGATTCGGTTAAGAGACGGACAGCTGTCGGGACGGGCCTCTGGTGCATCTACCAGCGAACTACCACTACCGCGTTAACATACCCTCCGCATGGTCAAACCAGCGGCGCGCGCGGGAGCTGTCATGCGTCGCATGCACGCGGCGGGCCTACGACGAGTCACCGCCCGTCTCTTCCCGCCCTGAGCCTGTCACTCGGCTCGAAAAGCACGCGAGATCGCGGGCCTTCGACGGCGGTTGCAAGCCAGTCGGATCGGCTCGCGCTAGCAGCAGTTCAGATCGCTTCCCGTGGCTAAGCTCGGGCAATGAAAGGCCGTCGAAAAGCTGCGTCAAAGAATCACTTCGTCCTGGAACAGGTTAAATAGTTAAATAACGCGAAAGAATCATTATGTGGAGTCTGCTACGGTAAGGACTCGTTCTATACAGATGATTGGCAGTCGTCGGGCGGTGGAGGTTCGGAGCGTGCATAGGCTGGCTCCTGAAACTAAGGTGACTAAAGCGAGGGTGGTTATAGAGAGCCGTCACGTTGAGAGAATATTCAACGCGCCGGCGCGGAAATGCCGCATTAAGCCAACGGTTAATTTGGAGCTCTAAACGCCGCCCTATACCCTCCGACGAGACGCCGGCCCGACTTCCCCGTCTCTAATCTTCGGCTTGTGATGGTGACGCTAGACGACTAGTTGGTGAGGCCGACGACTGGTGAGAGCTGAAACGAGACGCTAGACTGAACAGAAACCCTCCTTGAGTAGGGCTTTCCCTGACGCTGGAGGGGACAACCTCTAGGCTTATGCTCAACGTGCTTGCATGTGCACTGTGTACACGACAGGCCTTTCACCAGCACCGCGGCTTCTCCTCCTGTCCAGTGTCCACCACGCTGCAGGATGATAATGCGCAAGCTTTCAGCAACAACGGCCTCACAAACATCAGCAGGGAGGAAGCGAGCGACTATACAGTACTGGTAATAAATACACCCGGAGACTCTCTGTTCTGCTCTGCACCTCACTTCCCGCAGAGCCTTCATTTCCGTTCTATCGGTGGTGCCCTCTTTCCCGCTGCTCTCCTCGCCTCATTTGTGAGCTCTCGTCGTGAGCGCCACTGTTGGCCTTTTGGGAACGTTGGGTTTGGTTCGGGCCTAGGGATTTGGTTCGAGCCTCGAGTGTTCTGGTTCGGCTTTGGGCTTGGCTCGGGGCCTCGGGCTCAGTTCGGCTGGTTCGGAAACACGGTGGATGGTTCGGAGGGGTACAGCCACAACGTGCCGGCGAGTTCCAACTTGGTTATGGGGGCCTGGCGACTATCGCGAACATTTCGCTATGCATATCTGTTGTGCTGTCTGAATGAAACGAGTTCTAAGTAACACTCAACTGTTTTTCGTGTGAGGTCCAACGGTCTTGGTGGGATGTTCTAGTGCTTGTGCGTGCGACTTGCTCATTCAAACGGGAACTTTTGCTCTACCCAGATCACTGAACCCCTCCAAACGTTGTTATTCCTGCTCTACCATACCCTTCGCTTTGATTTGAACCGTTTTCTACACCAAATATAGGGGTGCAATTTGTTTGGACTAAAAAAATGTTAATCGTAAGCTCTCAGACGATGAAAGCTTTTGTATCCTTACCGTGGACATAGACTCTTGGAAGCCATTCTGGAAATTGAATCAGGAGCAGCCGCATGAGTTATGTTATGGCATTACTTTATTCTGCACCTGAACCTGAAGTTCAGGTCCTGGACCACACACGCACCCACAAATAGTTGCCGCACTAGACGTTGCACGCCCCCTGTTACGAATAGTGATTATTGAAACACTGTTGTACACTCCCCACCGTAGCAAGCGAAGCATGTACTACCGAGGACGAAGACGAAAGGGCGGAAGTAATGCGAAGGGACGCACGGTTACGAGGAGCATCTGGACCGTCGGGCAGACAGCATCAGGCAGCAGCAGTGGCGAGGATTCTGCCCGAACAGTTCCGTAACCACCCGGAGTCGCACGGTTGGATTTCGATGCAATAAGGGAATGTACCCCTTAGAGTACATGGCTAGCTAGGACGTTTCGAATTCCCCTGTACTCTTATTTATATTCCTTGTACTGCATGTTTTTACCATCTCAAGCATTTACATTCACTCTGCTATTGAGGTCAAGGGCCCACCACCACTAGACTAGAACTGTGCGAACCTTCCTGAGGTGATCCTGAGGACGATCAAACTTCTGATCGCAACATGGTATGAGAGCGACTCAGGAATCCTTCGCACCGCCACCACCGAAATTTTCGGCGAACGAAAAGTGGCGTCCGGCACACGATCGCGTGTAAGAATGGCCGGAGGATCTGGAGGTCAGACAAATCTGACGGCTGAAGCGAAGCCCAACCCGGCTGCGACAAGCGAGGAAACGACGACGATCCCTTCCGCCGTCCTCGCACAACTGCTTCAGCGACTCACGAGCCTGGAGCAAGGGCTCCAAACATTGCGGAATGGCGATGCGGGAACATCTTCCCAACCCACTCAACCGGCCTCGAACGGCCAGAACTCCGCCCCGCAAGGCTTCTCTCTTGACACAAACGGCTCAACACCCAAGACTCCCTGTCCCAGCGATGAAGCAATTCTCTCTGCGCAATCAAGGCTTTTGAGCATATCAAAAATAAAGACAAGTGTGTGCTTTGACGGCAGAGACTTCTATACCTGGAGCTTCGAGCTGGAGCTGCTGCTGCAAAACGCGCAGATTTATCATTATTTCGACGGGAGCTACTCGGGACCTAC